ACTAGGAGCAAGGACGCTACTAGGAGCTCCTGGCATCGCAACTAGGAGCAAGGACACTACTAGGAGCTCCTGGCCGTACTACTAGGAGCAAGGACACTACTAGGATTTCCTGGCATCGCAGCTAGGAGCAAGAAGCTATTAGTGCCAAAAAGGTTTAGGTTGACCTCCAATCCGGACAACGGTAAGGGACCGTAAGAAGAAGACCTTTGACCTTTGATCTTCACTTGGTCTCTTAGTTGTGTTATGTTGTGCTATGTTGTGTTTGTTGGTGTTTACATTTGTGCATTCGACATTGAGCGTCGAGGCCTTACGGCCCGGGGGCGCGTTGACCCTCTCGAGCGTGGTGCAAAGCATCGTGGAGGAGCTGACAGAGACTGCGTGGGGTATAGGATTGCCATCAGGCAGACAACGAAGGGTTATGATACAAATGATATTGAGTTATATACTTGTTTTTAGCGTGTTAGTTTCATGGTGTGAGAGTGTTTCCAAGTTTTGCTGTCTCTCGTTTCACAAATCTTTGGGTGACGTCGCAACTTGGGTCAGGAGAGCGGCGGACGCGGCTTCATGCGTGGAGCCTCCTCAATCGTGATAGGCGCTCACACCTCTCACACCGCTCGCCAGAGTGTAGATGGTGCAACGCTGTAGCGTCTTCGTCCAATCGGGACCACAGGGGCGTAGTTTTTCCTTTACTATCCGATGTTTGCGTTGCAAAGGCGAGTGAACATGACTGTCCTTGAAAGGTGGCTCAAAACTTCGAGCTCAAAAGAAATCATCAGCCGGTGTCGCTGCCAAGTCCCACGTTCACACGTAGTCAGCTTTCAACTATACCCTGACCTACTGGACCCCCGTTGTATTTTCACAATGACCGGCCATTCCGGCTACGGAACGAACCAACGCAAGATCTTGGGAACGCTTTGGAGCGGATACCCTCGTCGCTTCGACAAGGCTGCGTGCCAGCTCACATCGCACTCTTCACAAGCTATGAGTACGTGAAGGCAAGTCGGCGTCGGAATGGACGGGCAAGGACCCAACCACGTCGCAAGAGCGGTCACAAATTCACAAGTAGGATGTGTCAGGTGATTCACAAGCTTGCAGTGCAAAGGGCTAGTAGGGGCAGCTTCCGGCTTCAGGGGCGGATCATCAATGATGAGAATGCCCATGAGCCCGCGCGCGCAGCCTTGTGTGGTCGGAGCCTGGAGATCAGAGTTGGAGTGGTTTCCGGAAATGGTCAGGCCGGGGATTTGAAAATATACTAATATACTATACTAAAACTATGTTTTTAACTAGCCCCGCTCCCCCCTGCCTACTTACTGTAATTAAGTAGTTGCCTATATACTTAATTATGTAAAGGACTAGTGACTAGTAAAGACTACTACCTACTGGACGAAGGATAGCTCACGCTTCTTCAAGGAAGCTCTCCCCGGAGCTTCCTTAAAGAAGCGCTCGCACTAATGATGTGGTTCCTAGGTTTTTTAGTTAGAATTCGAATTAAATTCTTCTTGTTACTAGTAGTAAGGCACTTGTTTCTGATAGCTTCTTGTTACTACTAGTAAGGCACTTGTTACTAGTAGCGATTTAACCTTCTTGCAGAGAAGTTGACTTGAGATTTTTCACACTAAGTGTAATTTCCTGTAGTCAAGCAGGCTTTGGCCAACATACTCTGGACATGGTCTGAGTTGCTCGCACCCCGCGCCTCGCGGTTTGTGTTTTCCGTGAAGAGGACTTTGACAGAGTTGTAGGCTACTGCATTTTGAAGGTACTACTCTTTTTTGCTCTACTCACTACATCTCATTACTCACTAAACCGTACTAAAGCATACTAAACCACATAAACCCTAGTACTTAGTACTTACAACTAGACCTTAGTGCACTTACAGAACTCCCTTGGGCTGGAAGTCTCCAAGAGTGAAGCAAGAAACGGAAATCGTCACCTTTATTTCATGTTCGTTCGCAGAATCAAAAACACGACACAATGTCACACATGCTTTTGCTTCGTATCGCCTAGAATGCCAACAGGGCAGCTCATGGATTGGTAGCTTGCATACTCTAGCCTAGACCAAGCCTGCACCTGGGATTGTGGCACCTAGCTTTTGCCATGTGCGTGATGAGCCAAAGATGCGATCTTGCCTCTCAGATGCTTGCGAAGGAGGAGCAAGGGAGTCCTGCAGGGGGGGTAGAGAGTTCACGCATCGATTATGGATTCGGCACATCGGTTGCATTCCACCAATTGGGATGCACTTAACGAAACCAAACTAGTAACAATGTTCGCTACTAGGGGCTCCTGGCCTTACTACTAGGAACAATGTTCGCTAC